TGTCTGCTCCCGTCCGGAGTTACAGTCTCAGACACCCTCAGGGGCAGCTCCGTCCTGTCCTATAAGGTCCCTCTGATTCTGAATCCACTCGACGGCCGTGGGCAGCCAGGTGAATAATGACTCACGGCATTCTGATTCTAAGGACAACCGTCATACGAGGAACGTGCACCCGATGCGGTGGTTTTAAAGCAACGCGTGAGTCTAGTCGTATCCACTCTGCTCCAACGTGCAGATCAAGGGAGGGCAGATTCTATGTCGGCATCCGGGCGACTCTCACTTCCTCTCATCCCGCAAGACGGTCCCTTTTGTCCCCGCCCATCATTGTCCGGTGGCCGGGGTTGGGATGCGGGGAGAGTTTGATTCACGACCTTGATTCCAAGGAGAATGACTCCCCCAAGCCCATGGCTGCCTCTGCAGAGACCCTCGGGGTCAGGGCAGCCAGGGGCCCCCCCCGGGAAAGGACCTGTTTGCTTAAAAATCTCTCAAGGTCTCCCAGGGCCTGGAAATGAGAAGAGGGCTGTTGTTGGGTGCGCCCTCCTTACAACAGTGCTTCCACGGGAGCCCACGGCTGCAGCCAGCATGTCCGTCCATCTCGCGAGGTCCCAGCGTGCTCCTTAGAGGCATGAAGGGGGAGACTCGCTCCCACGGACTGTGGACGTGTGGTCAGGAGAGACCAGCCCCCGCAGACACCGTGGCTGCAGCTGTGGGAACCACGGTGAGGACGGCGCAGGGCCGGGCGGTGTTTCATGCAGTTGTGCATCAGGGTGCTGTGGTCAGCACTGACCCGATGGCAACTCAGGACCGCAAGATGGACCACAGGTGAAGGGAGCGAGCGGGAGGGCAGCTGGGGAAGAGGCAAGGGCTCCACGGGGAACGCGTCCCACGTCGGTGTTTTGGACGGTAGCAAGCAAGTGTCGGAGAGGTCTCGTGAGCCCGCCTTTCCAGATGTCTTCTGACCCCAAGGCTCGCCCGGTGAAGATTTGGCAAATGGAATGAAAGTGGGCTCCAGGTTGACCTGGGCAGCTGAGTGAGCACAAGGCTCAGAGACCCGGGTCCGTGGAAGAAGCCACATTGTATCTTGACACAAAGCCGACTCGATCCTCAGAGGAAACATCGTGGGCTCTGCTTTTTATTTTCTTTTTTTGTCCCCCCGCCGGTCAAGTGATTTTGTCGCTCGAGAGGAGAGACT